CCGATTTTAGCAAGGGCGCTGTTGGACTCTGGATCACAATCAAACTTTATGACTAATGATTTATCAAATAAACTCAGTTTAATCAAAAAAAACATAAATTGTGTGATAACTGGTGTAAATAAATCAAAAAGTCATTCAGCGCATTCGGTAACAACAAAAATACAGTCGCGGTCAATGGAAAATCAATATTTATTAAATTTTTTAACGGTACCAAAAATAACAACATATCTCCCAAATGAAAAAATAAGCACGTCAAATTGGGACGTACCACAACATATACATTTTGCTGACCCATCGTACTCCCGCCCAGGTAAAATAGATATTTTGTTAGGTGCCGAAATATTTTATGATATTTTATGCACAGGTCAACATAAACCAATTAAAAACGGTCCAACATTTCAAGAAACGGTATTCGGTTGGATAGTGGCTGGTCCTGTGCAGGGCGTAAATAATTCGATTGTACACTCGTTCTTTCTAAACGCAGCATTGGAGAAGTCAAGCTGTGCTGATTTGAACGATCAAATTACTAAATTTTGGAACTTAGAAGAGATACAAAAAGAAAATGTTTATAGCGCGGAAGAAAAAAAGTGCATGGAGCATTTTGATAAAACGGTTGAAAGAAAGGAAGATGGTAGGTTCGTTGTTCGACTACCGTTACGCGAAAACATAAACACGTTAGGCTCGTCGCGTTCAACAGCTTTAAAACGTTTTCTATCTTTAGAAAGTAGATTCCGCTCAAGTCCTGAACTAAAAAAAAAATATGTAGAATTTATGGAAGAATACGAGAACCTCGGCCACATGAAAAAGGTAAATATGAGTGAAGAAACTGAAAAATCGTATTATATACCCCATCACGCCGTCCTCCGTGATAGCAGCGTAACCACTAAATTACGTGTCGTGTTTGACGCGTCGTGCGCAACCGATTCCGGAAAAAGTTTAAATGATTTGTTATTGAAAGGGCCGAAAATTCAAGACGAATTAGTTTGCATTATCGCACGTTTCCGTTCGTATAAATATGTAATGTCCTCCGACATAGAAAAAATGTACCGTCAAATTTGGGTGTCGAATGCCGATACAAATCTGCAACGAATATTGTGGCGCTCACAACCAGATCAGCCGATCACTGAATACAATTTAAAAACAGTAACATACGGAACCACGCCTGCGTCGTATTTAGCAACGGGATGTCTAATGAAATTAGCAGTAAACATGCAAGAGTTATTTCCGGATGCGCACAAGGCAATCACTAATGACTTCTATATGGACGACTATCTCGGCGGTGCCAATGATATAACTGTCGCAAAAAAATTACGCGATGACGTTATCAGTATTTTAAACTCAGCCGGTTTCAAATTACGTAAATGGATTTCTAATGACCAACGATTATTAGAAAATATATCAAACGAGGACAATGACCCATTGCGTGTATTGAATTTAGACGACAATACAATAAAAACATTAGGCCTGTTCTGGAATCCGCTCGACGACGTTTATCAATATAAGGTAAACAGTAATTATAAAAACAATGTCGAGCCAATTACAAAACGTATGGTGTTGTCAACAATATCTATGATATTCGACCCGCTCGGACTAGTCGGACCCGTAGTCGTTGTTGCAAAAATATTTATGCAAAAGCTATGGCAAACTCGCATAAATTGGGACGATCCTATAGCCACCGTGCTACGAAAAGAATGGCAAGACTATCAACAAACCTTACCTGAACTTGAAGAAATCTACATCTCAAGATGGATAATTGGTTGCTCAGACGTGCACACCACACAAATACACGGCTTCGCCGACGCTTCGTTACTAGCATTCGGCGCGTGTTTGTACGCACGGAGCACCGACGCTTTAGGAAATCACTATTCCAGGCTGATAGTCGCGAAGTCAAAGGTGGCGCCATTAAAGGTAGTGTCTTTAGCACGCTTAGAATTATGCGCGGCTATCTTGTTAGCGCGACTGGCTAATAAGATAATTCCGCGATTAAATATTAAAGTAAACGAAAAACGGTTTTGGTCAGATTCAACAATAGTGCTCGCATGGATAAATGCTCCATCAACACGTTGGAAAACATTTGTAGCACATCGAGTCGGAGAAATCCAAACATTAACTGCGGCAGCAGAGTGGGGATATGTAAAATCAAATGACAACCCGGCAGATGTACTTTCGCGTGGTTGTAGCCCAAAACAATTAAAAGATAATACTTTGTGGTGGGAAGGTCCAGTATGGCTCAAATCAAATAAAAATGAATGGCCTAAGTCGTCAAATAATAAGTTATCACCAAACATCGAACTGCCAGAGACAAAACGTACACAAGTAGCACTCCAGCTGTCTATAAAAGAAGAATTCTACTTAATCAAAAGATATTCATCCATAAATAAATTATTACGTGTAATCGCGTACTGTAGGCGTTGGTACGAACGCGTAATTAATAAGCATGATAATTATATCGACATCAAAGTCGACGCCACCGAAGTAGCTGCCGCACAAACAACGATAATAAAACTGGTTCAACAACATTATTTTGCTGAAGAGATAAAACTTATAAAATCAAGAAAAAGCATAACAACAACGAAAATCGCATTACTGCGCCCGTATATAGACAAAAAAAATGTATTACGCGTCGGCGGCCGCAAAAATAATTCAACCACTATACATTTTAACCAACGAAATCCGATATTATTGCCAGCTAAATCAGCGTTTACCTTAGCACTATTTAGTAATGAACACGAGCGTTTATTACATGCTGGCCCACAAGCACTATTGTCATCGATTCGCGAAAAGTTCTGGCCATTAAACGGTCGTAATATAGCCAGACAAACGGTACATCAATGTGTTGTTTGTTTTCGTTCCAAACCTGTAATTTACGAGCCAATAATGGGAGACCTACCGCGCGATCGCATTGAACTAGAACGCGCGTTCAAAATATGCGGCGTCGATTTTGCCGGTCCAATAATGATTAAGGTTAGTTTAAGGCGAAACGCGCCGATGTCAAAAGCGTATATTTGTGTATTCATTTGTT